TGTGTCTGGTTGCCAAGTTGACAAAGATTGGATTGTGGTCGTTGATTGTGTCAACTTGAGAGGTTTAGAAGCTTAACTAAATTGGCTTAGCAATTCTACACCCTAGGGTGTAGAAGACCACACTAGGGTGGCTCATCACCTGGGTGGTATAAAAGAAGAGGGGAAAGAATGGATGAGGTTCCATTCTTCGGAGGAGCACCAGCCTTTGCCTTTGGCTTGAATGCTGTCTCCTGGCTTCCAGCACAGACTTGTCAGCTTCTGCATTGGATTCTTCAGGCTTCTGTCACAGACCCATTGGCCTCCTGGTGTGGATTTGCATGGGATACTGCAGTAAACTCCAGACCTCAGATTGAATCTTTTGGCCTTCAGCAAGAAGACACCCTCTACAAACTGCCTCACCCAACTCTGACTGATCATCGTAAGCCAATCTTGTAATTTCACACACATTTGTAATCTTGTGTTGTAACTGCTCTTCTGGTGAAACTCTAATACGCACTGCTTCAGTGGCTCAGGTTTTTGGGAAGCTAAATGTAACTATTTTTTCTTCTGATTTAGAAGAACTACATCGGTACCGTGGTTCATGAATTTAATTTGTTCTATGATTTGGAAAAGATGGCCACAGTCATGTTTGTCACCCAATGCAGAGTTTGCAAAGACAAAATTCTGCCAAGTGTTTCTGTTTGCAAACCAAATTGCTTACAAAAAAAAGTGCTCATTATCCGAGGTACCAGTGTACCTTGTATTTCTGTCTTTCGGGAGCAGGGTTTGACTATGCAGTCTGGGCTGGCCTCAAACTCACAGTGATCCTCCTGCTTTAGCTTCTTGAGTGCTGGGATTACAGGTGTGCACCACTTGCCCGGCCACCACTGCACCTTTTAAAGTAGAGCTGCTATCTAGCGAAATAAGCCAAGCAAACCAATACTTTAAAAATATTATTACATCACTAGCCTACTTCAGAAATAATTGCACCTGTCTGCACACCTCAGGCTTTTGTGAACAAAATGCCAGCTGCAACACTCAGCATCTAGGGAATCTGCAGCTTTTTGCTTGTCTCCCTCCCTGATCAGACACATTGATGGGTATCACTTACAGGAAAGATGTGGTTGAACTTTGTCAAACAGGTTTCTAGTAACAGTTTGGAAATTTACCACAATCTGGCACATTATATAAAAATTCATTTCTAGTATCTAGAAAAATTGGGTCTTTCTTAAAAGACAGCATTTACGTTTCTGTAAGAAAACAGCCTTTTCAGGAAGAAAGTTAGTATGCAAAATTTTAAAAGATAGGGATGTTAACTTGAGGAATACTGGTTAAAATAGTTAAACTGTGTCTTTTTCTACCAGAAACTTTAACATGCTATTACACAATGACTCCCTGAAAAAAGTGATAAAACATGTATCACGTGTTACATTTATTGTTATATTGCACTATATTTCAGCGGAGGCTCTATAAAAACAGCTGTGTGAGCTGGGCATGGTGGTACACAACTGTAATCCCAGCAGTAGGGAGGCTGAGGCAGGAGGCTCATTTCAACTTCGAGGACAGTTTGGGCTACAAAGTAAGTTCAAGGCCAGCCTGAACTGCACAGCAAAATCCTCAAAACAAAACAAAAAACAGCTATGTGATCAGAGATTTTTTGAGACAGGGTCTCTCTATACAGTTCGGGTAGTTCTTGAGCTCAGTTTGTAGCCCAGGCTGGTCTCAAACTCGTATAGATCCTCCTGCCTCAGTCTCCCAAGTGCTGAGATTCCAGCTGTGAGCCACCACACCCAGTTCTTCAGAGATGTGTTCTGAATCACTAGTCTAGAGGTTATATTTAGGAAAAAGGCACAGAGGCAAAAACAAAAACAAACAAAAAATGAGGTATGTCCAGGTTAACACAGGTCAGGTGATAAAGATTATCATAGCAATGTAAGATAAACAACATTGTGAAGGGAAGCACTTTGCAGCAGAATGGACACAGGCAGTGGACACAGGACAAGATGTAGTAAGGAGCCACAGGTATTCAAACTCACACATTTGATTGGCTAAGACAATCGGCATTTCTTTTCACAGGAATTTGTAATACCAAAGATGCATCTTAGGATCTGAATAAATTCACTGCAGGAATTAAGGACAATTTTGCTGGACAGCTGAACCTTCTAATTTACCTGTTATTCTGCTTTCTTGTGGAATTTTCCTTCTTCAAAGATGTCCCTCTTGGGAACAGTATTATTACCAAATCTCGCTACTGAGGGGAAATCTCATTTTTTTTTTCTTTTTGTATACTAATGGCTATTCTTCTAGAGCTGAGTGGTGATGAATACAGAAAGCAAATATTCTGATACAGTGTATTTCACCCATGATGGCCAGTTGCTTAGGATAATACCATAGGGGCAACATTCATCTCCCCCCATACAAAAAAAGGGTCACATGCCAGTAAGTTACAAATAGCTTTTTCAGAAACACAGAATGATTTTTTTGAACTACTCTTAAAATTCATCTATTTAAGGTTGGCAACATTACCACCAATAATTATATCACTAGCATTAAATTTCATTTTGTATACTTATGTGGATTTTTAATACTGTGGTCTGCGTTAGGTAATTTCACTGAAAGGTTTATGTTGATTTCTGCTTCCCCAATACAGCTTTTGTGACTTAGACACACTGTAACTTGGATGTCAAGAATTTAAACATCTATTGATTTAGACTTAAAACAATGGAGCCTTTATGTGACTGAGGGTCTCCTTTGCCAAACAAAACACAATAAACTACACTACATTCATTTTTTTCTGGCACGTACACTATTGTTTACCCAACCCCTACTCTTGATGACTCTGACAGAAAGTCACAGCCGTTTTTTTAAACTAAGAATTGAATCCAGGGAGGGGAGCACTGGCCTGTACCCCTAACCCATTTATGTTGAGATGGTCTCACTAAATTGTCCAGGCTGGCCTCTGACTACTTTTGTATAGACAGAGCTTTGTGATATGTAGCTCAGGATGACTTTGAACACACTGTGTAACTCAGGCTAGCCTGGAACTTGCTGAGATCAGGCTCCTGCCTCATCCTCCTAAGTAGCTACTGCTACAATTGTACACAGTCTGATGCAACCACTTTTGAGTACTCTTATGTTAGACTTTTATTCCCTCATTTATAGACCTCAGCCTCTTTTCCCTGATAAGCTAAGAAAAAATGCCCAAAGACAATTTATTGCTAAATCATCTCCTAGATGATGATTATATAGAGGCAATTAGCTCAACCTTTTTTCAGTTGAGTGGTGGGTATTTTGTTTCGGCAACAAGAAAGTGATTAATATATAGCGAGACCCCGTCTCAAAAGAAAAAAAAAAAATTTACTGGTTTGTTCCCAATTAATCTTTAATTCTACACTTTAAAATACAAACAATAAAAATTGGAAATTGGGAATTGAGGAAGGCAAAAATTAGGTATTGTGGCAGTTAGAGTGGGATTTTGCCTTAATGCCTTTGGCATCTGCCCTGGACTGGAATGCACTGTTTTGTCTGGGCCGGCCTTAGAGGCCTGGCTGTGAAGTCTCCGGTTATTCTCTTACAACTCTAATTCCTCCGGGTTCTGCTTCCTGGCATTTTCCTCTGCCACGCCTTTCTATCTCGCTGTTCCTGCCTTGGAGCAAGTCAACCAGGCATGGACTGAAACGGTGAAGGAAAGTAAACCTCTTTCAAATTGTGGGTGATGGGTATTTTGTCCCAGCAACAAGAAAGCGAGTAACACAGAAGTAACACAGGTTGACTACATCAGCCAACTAGGATACTGGCGAGAAAGTGGATGCTATTACTTACAAGCCTCTCCAGTGGTGGGATTACTGGCATGTATCAGGTTATTTAGTCCTATTTTGCATTATAGTTCCTTTGATAAAATCCTTGACATAATTCAGCCTGTATGTGAACTTTCTGGCATCTAACTTAGTACCTCCTTTGGTGGTATTTTTTTTCTACTAGGCATTTCTAAGTTTCAGGAAAGTGCTCCTTACTTTCAACTTTATTATTTTTGTTCAATCCAAAACCTATAGTAGCTAGACGTGGTGGCACATGCCTATAATCCTAGCACTCTGGAGGCTGGGGCAGGAGGAACACCATGAATTCCAGGACAGTCTGAGCTACATAGTGAGCCCAATGCCAGCCTGAACTATATAGTCTCTCAAAAAAAAAAAAAAAAAAAAAAAAAGTAAAAAGCAAAACCCATAACAATGAGTTTTCATAATGCTCTGCCAAAGGCATGCATTATGTTATAGGTTAACTTTTTAGGTATCTATAATAGTATTACTTACATATTATCTTCAGGGAAACAGAAAATGGTCAAATAATTTGTCCTTCAGATAAGGAATCTTAGTTGAAAGGCTGCATTTTGTACCTGTGTGACTTTGGAAGACTTACTTCGTGTCTTTTGTTCCTCAGAAATAAACGGTAATTTTATTTTGGGCTGCTATGAGGATCAAATAATATAGACGGCTCCATTAATTACAATCAGGGTCCTTATCTAGCGTGTTCACTACTTTATCCCAAGCGCCTAATACAGGCACTAGCAGGCCCAGATGGAATACTCAGCAATCTCAATAAATAATGAATAATGCTACCACTAAATGGAGTTAATTTCATCCTTCCTACGATCTGGTTTCAAGACCTCTCACTGTTATACTAAGAGCTCAGGTTTATTTCCTTCTGATGTGATTCTTTTAGATACTCTGTAAGTAAAGCAATGTTGCATTATTAGAATATAGTTATTTTACGAGTCTACACAGATGGAAGTATGCTGGGGAAAAAAGCTAATCTATTTGCTTATACAAAGAATTGGTACTTAAAACTCTTTCAATACCATTTGGCAAAGAGAATAAAAGAGTATTAAGGTTTAGGTTTTTTGATGGTGGAGGATTTTTTTGTAATGGCTATGACAAAAAATTATAAGTATTCTCTAGGATATATAAAACGTGGAGGGGCTGGGACAGTTTAAGCGCTGGGGGAAAGATGGAAGGCTAAGTCAGTTTAATAAAAAGGTACATTTCTTTTTTTTAAACCAACACAAGTTAAAGGAAGAGTCTGAGGTAAAGAGGAAGGCAGCTATGGAAAGAAACTCGAATTATAAGTTTCAACTAATGGGAATCAAAGGACGAATTATAGGATTACTGCCCAGCTAAAAAGAAAACTTCTATCTCCTCTTACTCCAGCTACATTTGATTAAAAGTAGTTTCCTTTGAGTCAGGCAGTATTACAAAGGCATACATACATTTTTTATAATAAAATGAAAATACATCTTTTTAAAGAAATAAAACTGCCGTTACACCAAGAAATGACTGTTAGAGCGGCCTTGTTCACAAGCTAAGCAAGTGGAAGCATTCTTCTTAAGCTGAAATTCGGGTTGAGACCCTTTCAAATGCAACCAAACGCTACTGCAACATATTTCCTAACAGACTGAGTCGACTCTGGGGATCAGGTAAGGTGAGAATCTGGTTGGGTCCATTCGACTCCCAACCTTCAGTTTTCTTCCCTTTACAGGGTGGGCCGGGTTCTGGCCACGAGGCATTCCACGGCCTTCTGAGCCAACGCTCAGTCGCTCCGCCTGCCGAGGTCCGGGATAAAGTGGCTCAGGTCTGCCAACCAGGGGGCTGTCTCCAGAGACCATCGCCAACGCTAAGGCGCACTGGCCGAGGTCGCCTTGGGAACAGCGGTGGACCATCCTGCTCCCGTGATCGCCGGCGGACTGCGTCATACAGTTCAGGGCCATCTTCAAACACTGCTAACAGTTTCTAGGTTACGTCCGTGGGTCAGGGAAGGTTCTTCGCGGGTCCAAAGATCAGTCCAACCCGACTGTGCCCACTCCGGACGCCATAACTAACGCGAGGCCACTGGGAAGCCGCCTTCAGTCTGTACGCAGGCGCACTGCGCGCGCGCGCGCCCATACCGACCCGTGCCGGCGCGACGGACGTTTACGTCAGGACGTCTAAACGCAAGGACGTGGGGTTTTCGAGTTTGCGCAGTCGCTGTGTCGGCTGCGACCCTTCTGCCTGGGCGGGGAGGGGGCGACGTTGAGATGGGGGCGGCCGCTGCGGAGGCGGACCGCACCCTCTTTGTGGGCAACCTTGAAACGAAAGTGACAGAGGAGCTGCTTTTCGAGCTTTTCCACCAGGTGAGTGGTGGTTGGGTCTTGACTTCCGGTTTTCCTGGTTTCCTGGGCCCTGCCCTGTGGCCGACCCCGCTGTCCAGGCCGGAGCTAGGAGGTCGGAAGCCTGGGTCGGCTGCGTGTGCGCACTGGACGCCCCGAGGGCGGTAGGGAGCGGGGCGCTCGCCGGGTGTCGCTGTATTAGGAGAATCGTAGTTGGTTCCGTCCCAGAGTGACGACGGAAGGTAGTGGAGGACTCCGCAGTCAAGCAATCTCGTGGTCCGGATTCGGAGTCCTAAGAGACGTAATAATACACGCGAGGTCTTCGTTGAGTAGGGTTTTTGTGCTTTCCTCTTTCTCTCGTCCTTTTAAGATGGTTTGTCTTTGGGCGATCAGACTTCGACGATACAGTATTTCACTCTGTGTCTGTTAGCGCCTAAGTTAGTTACAAAATTGCAGGATTATTAAAATGTTTTGAAATCCTATACATACGACTTAGAAAAGCAGCACAGTAATGTTTTGTATTAAAATACGTGAAAAATTCTAAGCATACCTTTGCTCCCAGCCCAATTACCCCCCTTAGGTGATTATGTATGATTAACCATTACAAAAGGAGTTTTTAATCTGAGAAAATCACTGTTGAATTTTTCCCATGGAGAGGGAATATGATAGCTGATGGGTCACCTTTTTAAAAACGTTCCGTGGTGTGAAATGTAAATTGAATGAGTGTGTTGACAGCTCCATATGGGCCCCTTTCTACAAGTAAGTTAATGTCATTTTCAGTGGTAACTAAGAATTTCGTTCTAACTAAAACAAAAACGATTTTCTTTTGAATTTCTGATTATGCGTCTGTTTTTCAACTTTGTGTTTTATTTGTAAAATTTGAGTATTTCTCTGAAATTGCCTTATTTAAATTCTCAACACTTTTGCAGGCTGGGCCAGTAATAAAGGTGAAAATTCCAAAAGATAAGGATGGGAAACCAAAGCAATTTGCATTTGTGAATTTTAAACATGAAGTATCTGTTCCTTATGCAATGAATCTACTTAATGGAATCAAACTTTTTGGAAGGCCCATCAAAATTCAGTTTCGATCAGGTAACTTCCATGATAAAGGGTGAAGTCTGTTTACTACTATGTTTTTTGTTTTTAAATTTATTATTCAATTTTAAGTAACCTTTTGAGGTGGTAAAATACTTTCTTAGCCTTTGTGGATAGAGATCTTGATTCCTGAAATTGATTACATTGACACATGGATTTAGAGAATTAAAATTTTAAAATTGCTCAAAATTTCATTGTGGCTTACTGAAAATAACACAAGCTTTGTTAGAGGCATTTGGGTTTGGATTTATGCTCTTAAAGGAGCTTGTGTAATTTTCTTAAGGTGCTTGTCCTGACTGCTTTGGAAGTAACTTTCACAAATTTCCATATTTGATCATGGGAGGATGAAGCTTTCCATATCATCTGTTTAATAATTTAGTATGAGGATTACAATATGGCCATTCTGCATATTTATACAATAAATAGTTTCTTGTTTGGAGTGTTTTGTTTTGCATGTCTGTTACATACGTTTAAAACTGTAAAGTCTTGTAATACCTTGACATTTTTTCTTTTAAACTGTAATTCTCTTTTTGGAGTGATTTGGGGTGGGGAGACGTGCTTTCCAATTAATTTTCTGTTTGAATTCTTGTTTCACTTTAGGCAGTAGTCATGCCTCACAGGATGTCGGCTTAGCATATGCCCAGCATCATGTCGGAAATTCAAGCCCTACCTCTACATCTCCGAGCAGGTAACTTTTAAATGTTTATTAGTGCATATTTGCTGTGCATTTTAATTACACTCCCTGTATAGAGCACATCTTAATTCTTTTTTGCTTCCCCTTGACCTCCTTTCCCCATGTTCTCCCTCTGTCTCAAATTCCCCTTCCCAGTGGCAGGTGATCTGACTTCCTATTTTGTATTATCTTTTATTTTCCTCTTTTTTTTTTTTTTTTTTTTTTTCCTTTTTTTTGAGACAGGGTCTCACTATGCAGTTCAGGCTGGCCTTGGGCTCACTTTGTAGCCCAGGTTGTTGTCAGACTTGCAACAATCCTCTTGCCTCAGCCTCCCTAGTGCTGGGATTACAGAGTGTGCCACCATACGTGGCTGAGTTTTTCTCTTTAGATTATTTATATTTTTGGGTTTCTTATGTAAGAGAAACCTTGAGATATTTAAGTTTGTGTGTCTGATTTATTTATTTCACTTAATATGGTCTCAGGGTACATCCTTTTCCCTACAAATGACTGAAGTTTACCCTACATATGACTGAATAGTACTCCACTGTGTAAAAAAATACATTTTCTTTATCTGTTCATCTGCTGGTAAACATACAGGTGCTTCCAAGACTTAGCTTTTATGAGTTGTGTTATAAATTTAGGTATGCATGTAGCACTGTGGTGTCTTTAACTTTGGGGAAGATACTTAGAAGAGGAATAGCTGGGTCAAATGGAATTTCTAGTTTTAGTTTTTTGAGGAGTCTCCATAGTGATTGTACAATTGTACTAGTTTACATTCCCACTAACAAAGTAGAACACTCCCATCTCCCCGGTGCCATTCTCCAGTCTTACCTGTGCTTGTTGTTTGATTTTTTGATGATAGCCATTCTGGAGTAAAATGGGATTTCAGTGTTGTGACTTGGATTTGTCTAATGACTATTTTCAGTGTGCTGGGTTCAGATGTAGACAACGTGCTCTGTTTAGCCTTGGTACTGACATATCAAGTGCAGCTTTGAAGTCTAGATGAAGCTATATGTTGGGTATATATTTGCAACTGTTTAATTACTATAATTTGTTCTGCAGTGAATGGAAGAAAGTGCTTTGATAAAATTTTGATACTAGGAGCTGGTATAGATGAGGAAATGAAAGAAGTCAGTGTGGCTAGATCATAATGGAAGTACAGAGCCGTAGGTGATTTTGATGGAGACTGGATGCTGTCTTTCAGAATAGGCTGTAGTTAAGATTGGGGAAAATTTTATCCTAAAGAGTTGTTTGGTTGCAATGAAAGAATGGCGTAGAAGGACAGGAGTAAAAATAAAGCATTTGGGAAGCTGTTGGTAGCAAGGTATTGGTATTAGTAGCGGTGTAGCAAAGAAAATACCTGAACGAGGTTGGTGATTTGGACTAAGGAGATGGCGAGAACTGGAGATAAGTGGACGGCCGTGATCGTGCAAGCCGGTGTTACAGAAGCAAGTGATTATGCAGAAACAACACTTTCTCTCCCTTAGAATTTCTTGGGAAAAAATATACAGTAACTAGTTTTAATCAAAAATCCACACTATCTGTAATATAAATTGAATAGGGGATGAAATAATAATAAAGTCTTAGTATACAGATATACATACCCTGTTTGAAGAAAAACCAAGGTAAAAACGTAGAAGAGAATCTCTGCTTTTCTCACCCTCACTGACTCTTTAATCAAAACGATAAGACAAGTAACTGGGTTATTTGTTACCACAGCCTGTTTTTTCATGTGTTAGTGTATGTCTAGCAAATTTCTCAAATCTAAATTTTATCTCTTCTGTATTCTGCTTCCCTTGTCCTTCGTAAGTAGTCAAACTGGGCCTGTGCTCTAGCTCAGAGATTGATGGGTTTTTCTGTAAGTGTCACATGGTTAAGACTTGAGACTTCGCAGGCTGTCCAGTCAGCCACTGTAGCAGTAAGGTAGCCCTTGAGAAAAGAGCGTGCAGTGTTCCAGTAGTAAAAAGTGTCTTATAAAACTGTGTGGCTCACTGTAATTTGCCCACCTGTGCACTAGCCTTGCTCTCAGCTGGCAATGTTTTGTCTCCAGGTAAGTGTACTAATCAGCTTCTGCTCTAGATGTCTCCTTTTTAGAAAGGCTGTCCTTGATCAGCCAACATAAAACAGAACTTTATTTCCCACTTCCCCTGGATCTTTCAGTTTTACATCGTGTCACTTATAATCTTGTGAAATCATCCTTTTGTTTGTGCTCTCCTCACTTTAGGAGAGCAGATATATTGTCGAAGTAACTTTTAAGTTTGACAACTATGTCCTGAGTTTAATAGCTGTTGAATGAGTGATATGTTGTCTTTTTAGCAGATATGAAAGGACTGTGGATAACATGACACCATCATCACAGATAATGCAGAGGTCATTCTCTTCTCCAGAAAATTACCAGAGACAAGCAGTGGTAGGCTTTTTTTTTTCCTGTTTGATATGTTAAAATGAAGTCATTCTTAAAATATTCATGTTACTTTAATTTTGCTCAGATGAAAATTTTATTTCTGGGGTGGAGGATACTGGAGACTGAACCCAGGAACACTCTATACTGACATACATATTCCTTAGCCCTTTTTGAAAACTTATTTTGAGATAAAGTCTAAAAGGCCTTGAACTTGAAATCCTGCCTCAGTCCCCTGAGTAGCTGGAGTTAGTGTCAATGTTGTGTTAGGCTGATCTTTGTAGATTGAATACTTTGTTTTTACTGGGCTGACATATATACTTAGAAGACAAGATAAATAGAAAATTGCATTTTATATGTGAGTTTCTCTTCAGCAGTATTTACTGTGTATATACAAGTACTTACACATTCATTTTATGAAGCTTTTACCTGTCTTGAATTATAAACTTACAAACACTAGTATTTTAATGTACTTGTGTTCTAGCGCAGGGCCTTCACCTTTTGATTATTTTTGTGACATTACTACAAGATGAGGCTTAGAAACTTCACCATGTTTGTATTAGTTATTTATTTTTACGTGTGATTCTTGGCCTTGAGCCCAGGACTTTTGTACTGAGCTGTATCCTCAGCCCTCTTTTTATTTCGAGGCAGGGTCTTGGTGAGTTGCCCAGGGTGGTCTGAGACTTGAACTTCTCCTGCCTCAGCCTAGCAGAGAGCTATCTTTTACTATTTCAATTTTGTTTACACTCATTCACCACACTTTTTAAAAAAAATCTTTCATAGTTCTTATATTCATTTCTTCCTTTTTAAATTTACTTTGCCCAAATCACAATCTAGGCTTATGGTCCCCAAGCTTTTATACTGTACTGGTCTGCAAAATACTACCTATACACAGGCAGAATTTGAGCCCAATAAGTTACCATGCTTCTGTCCAAAGTAGTGTTACCAACCGATTTTGTGTCTTTTTCCTTGCACGGTTACTTTCTGTAGTTTGGAAGTTGTTGGACTTTTGTACCTCAGTAATGAAGGATTCCTACCATTTGATGCTAGTAAACCCTCCAGCCTTGGATTTGACTGTTACTTCTAAGGTAGCCTCTCAGCCAAGAGTAGTTGCTGTTCTTTAGCACTACTTTGTGTTTTCCTTTTATTTTTGTTAGCAGTTTTTTTGGTATATCTCCCTTTTAAGGTCATTTCCTTAAAATACTTCCTCTGTTCTTTTAACATGCCGATCATGCGACACCTCTGTGAAGCCTTCCCTAGTGATACTGAGTTTTCAGTCTTTATATGTTCATTTTATAATGGTTTCTGTTGTAATTATCTCGTATGACCTTTTCCATTCTAAATTGTGTCCTTAGGGTAAGGAGTAGTAGTTAAGTGTTCATGCAGATGAACGGAGTGATTGATTGTTTACTGGCTACGTTTAACTCACCATCCGTCTAGGCCACTGATGGTGAATCTTCTAGAGCTTTCCAGTGTGGCACGTGTGCTGTAGGTTTGCCACCGCTGGCCTAGGCTGTTGGGTTAGTTGTGACTAAGTATATATATAATTAGCTTTGAAATTGGGAATCTTTACACCTAACACCTTTTCTTTTTCACCTCAGATGAACAGTGTTTTGAGACAGATGCCGTATGGAGGGAAATTTGGCTCCCCACATGTGGATCAATCAGGATTTTCACCGTCAGCTCAGTCACATAATCATACTTTTAACCAGTCTTCAAGCTCCCCGTGGCGCCAGGATACACCACCATCACAGCGGAAAATCAGACAGAATTCTCATCCCTACCTAGCAGATAGACATTATAGCCGCGAGCAGCGTTACGCGGATCACGGGCCCGACCACCACTACCGAGGAAGCAGAGACGACTTCCTCTACGAGGACAGGAATCATGACGGCTGGAGCCACGAGTATGACAGCAGGAGGGACAGCAGTCGGGACGGGAAGTGGCGCTCGTCTCGGCACTAGCACATTAAGAGGACGTGCTTTTTAGGGTCCCTTTAGGCCGTTGACCAAGTTGGGCTGAAAATATTTAGAAAAACTACAGAGCAGCTTTTCAAGTTGCTACCTTTTTTTTTTTGTTTTTAAATCTACAGTTTAATACAGAAATGAGAAGAATTGTGGTTCCAGTTTTATTTCACTAACCTTTCATCTCAGGGTTTTATGAAGAGGAAAGGGTTTATGCAAAAGAAAGTTCCACAGTTCTTAACCATTTAGACAGCTTCAAAAGGGTGGATTGTGTACCAGGCATGATTAAAAAAAATAGTGAAGAAAAATTTTATAATAAAAGACACATTGCTGTAACACCATGACAGCAATGTGGCTTTTGCTCTAATACATTTTTAAGATCTAAACATTCCTGTGTACTTTGATCAAACATCATAGATGGTTGTATTATAAGGCAAATAATTTAATTTTTTCTACCGCAAGAAATTTCTTGTTAAGTGAATCCAGTTTTGTATATAATACAGTGTTTAAGCTGATGGTCTCATATGGCTGTCTGTTTTGTTAATAAATCAGAAAATATAATTTTTCAGTGATTTGTTTTATTAACAGTTTTGGAAAATTGGTTGTTGGTGGATAAATCATTTTGGTTAACTTAGAGAATTTAAGTATAAATTCTGTGACATGCTCTTTGTAAATTTGTATAAGTATAAATTTACATGCTATTCTGAAGTTTTAGAAATGTTTCATTAAATCATGTTTGATGTATGACTGGTCACTCAGGAAATTAATTATCTGTACATGAAATATCGTATGTGTATATTTTTACATGGAAAATTACAGTATTAATGTAAATTCCCTTTTTCAGGAAGAACAAAAATATCAATGCACACTCAGATAAAATGGTAAAACATTTTACTGAAAGCATTCTTTTTGGAAAAAGATTCCTGAAATCGTTATGTGCTGCCTCTCTCGCTCAAACTTCAGAAATTTTAACATTTTACAAGTGCCCAAGACATGTGTACCAAGGGCACATTTTGTTACAGAGATTGTACAAGTTGAATTTTGTTCAAACATTGGGAAGAATTTAATGTTAACATTTTTCTGCTTTTAAAATCTTAAAAGTTTCATGAATCAAGATACTATTTCTCTTTCATTGCAAAATTGTTTATAAAATTCATTCATCAAAAATTTGAATCTTTTTATAACTAATCAGCATTTGTACTGTTACTTTGTAATATATTAAAAACAAAAAGGAGAGAGATGTGTCTTTTTTTTTCTTCTGCAGCACTGTATAGTATGAGTAATGTTTCTGTTCAGTGATGTTTGGTATTAAGATTGCCAGTTTGGGCTGGATGTGGTCAGGAAGCTGAGGCAGGAGGATCACTGAGTTGGAGGCCAGCTTTAACTACATAGTGAGACCCTGTTTCAGAAAAAACAACCCCTCGCAAAAAAAAAAACAGACTGCGGGTGCCTTAACTTTGAGCATCCTAAAATACTGTGTATCTTTTGTAGATACTGAATTAGATACTTTTAGAAGTAGATGTTTATGATCTCTGGAATATGGTTTGGAGCCATTGTAATTATAGTTCTCATTCTCTGAAAGCTTCTTATATAGTCAGATTAACTTTCTAAATCAGTTCTGTATCTAGATACAGTATAACTACTCATAATTCAGGTGAAAGATTAATACTATCTTGCAGGGGTCAGGGATGTAGCTCAGTGGTATGCGTACCTGCCAGGCAAGTGCGAGGTCCAGAGTTAATTCCTGGTACCAAAAAACAACAAAACAAAACTACCGTGGTTTAATCTGTGGTTCAAATCCTTTCATATTGATTCATAGGTGATCTTGATGTAGAACAATGTTTTTTAAGTGGCTTTGTAAATACTAGCACGCATTTGCGGTACATAGTGATCACATACATCATGAGGAATTTGTACATGTACATAACACATCTTTACTATTGTTTCAGTTTCCGCCCCTCCAATTATTCTTTCCATCCCTGTTTCCAAACGCTTTCTTCATTTTTAAATTTTAAAGAGAAAAAAACAATAATACTGGATATCAAAAACGAAGAAATCCCCCATAGCTGCTATATTGCGTATTATCCTCTAAATAGATGGTCAGACTACTGGCTTTAGACCTGCAAAATCAGTCAAACAATACAAGCATCAAGGTTTTTTTTACTCCAGTAGCTACCTAAATAGCTGGTTGCTTGGTGGGGGTGGGGGGGTTCTGCTCTTGTCTCCCAGCCCACATGCTGGCTGGCCCTCGGAAGGGGCTTGACTTGGTTCTCTGGCCCCTCAGGGCTCACACCAGGGGGTTGGCTTCTCGGTCTTCCTGGCCAGCACAGCTGCTTCTGGCTCACAGCAGTGGGTTGGCTCCTTGGTTCTCCAGCCCATAACTTCCGCTGGCTCGTGGGCGGGGCTTGGCTTCTTGGTTTTCCCCGGCCCATAGTTGGTGCTGGCCCACAGGAGAGAGCTAGCTTCTTAGCACTCTTCCTGGCCTGAATTGATTTTTTTTCTTGAGTCTGCTTTCCTTTCATTCTCCCCCATTTCTTTCTCTACTTCCCTCTTGAAAAAGTTCTACTTAATACCCAACACTGTATTCCTTATTATACTTTGAGTTTCTCACACACACACAATTTAAACTTGCGGGTCTGATTTATTTAAGATGATTTTGAGGTTCATGCATTTATCTAAAAATGTCTCAAGTTTATCCTTTATGGCAGAGGAGTAGTCCATTGTATGTAGAAACCACATTTATCCATTCATCTGTTGATTGGCTTATGGGCTGTTTCCAAAATTTAGATGTAAATTTTGCTGCTATAAACATAGGTATGCATGGTATAGTGTGATCACTTTTGGAAAGCTACCTAGAGGAAGAGCTGAGTCAAAAGAAACTTCTGGTTTTAGTTTTTTGAGGAACCTCTATACTGCTTTCCAGAGTGGTGTTAATATACACTCCCACCCAAAGAAGGGTTCCTTTATCCCATACCCTTGCTGGCATTTGTTGTTGGGGAATTTCTTGATGCTAGCCATTCTTTCCGGTGTGAGATGGAATCTAAATATTGTTTTAATTTGCATATCTTAAATGACCAGGAATGTTGAGCACTTTTGCATGTGTTTCTTGGCTGTCAGTACTTCATTATCGTGCTTATATTCATTTCACATGCCTCTTTTGGGATTGAATCTTTAAATTTGGGGTGGTCTAATTTTTTGGGTTCTTCACATATTCTACATATTAGTCCTCTGTCTGAAGAGTGGCTGGCAAAAACGTTTCCCATTCAGTAGATTGTCTCTTCACTGTTGGGTTTCCTTTGCAGTATGAAGAAGCTTCTTAATTTGATTTGATCCCATTTGTTGGTTCTTCGTAATATTTCCTTTGCAAATGGGATTTTGTTTATAAAGTCTTCGCTTACACCTATGTATTCAAGAGTTACCTAGTCTATCTTCCAGCAAATTAATGTTTCTGATTAAATATTTAGGTCTTTGATCTATTTCAATTTTAGTTTAGTGCATGGTGAGAGATATAGGCCTAAGTTAAGTCTTCGGCTTGTGGAAGGCCAGTTCTCCTGGCCTTTGAATGGCTTTATGGGGGACTCCTGATGGAGTTCCATTTGATCTTTTTCTCCTCAACTTTACCCAAATAAACACTTGTGCTGTGTAAAAGGATAAAACAAGACATTCCCAAAGGATTAAATACAGCACGGTAAAACTACAAACAGCATTTTCTTCCAGTGTGCTCCATAAGGCTTACAGGGTGTTCTGCAACACAAGGCTTTGTAATCCAATGTTTGAAAAGCATGTTACACTTTTTATGTTACTCCAGGAACAGCAACATAAAGTTTCTGACAAATAGTAGTAATCAGTTTTATGCTCAACTTAGTGTTTTTCAAACCTACTTGACTATCAAGGACCTGGCCAAGATTCCCAATCTCACCAAATGAGTGCACAGCAAATAAATAAATGAGACAAGTACTATGACTTTAGGGCTCCAGGATCAGAATCCTCTAGCAGAGTTCAAGACTCGGAGGCTGAGACAAATAATTTCTCTGGGTGGCTCATATTTACTAGGTTTTCAAACAAAGAGGGGATACTGAGGAAAGCCTGGAAACTGAGTGGGACCTTGGGAATCACCTCAAAGACTTCCCCAAGTAGTAAATTATGGCAATTTAGGAGAACCGTCTTATCTGCATGATGACGTTTATGGTGGGAATAAGACTGCAGGAGTGAGATGCCTGCAGCTTCAGTCTCCAGTTAACTGGGGTTGGAGCCAGGCGCTCTCAGCTGCGGCCTTACCTCGCTCTGTGAGGCATCTCTGAATCACAGGCCACTACAGGCCTCACTTACTGTGAATCCACTGCTCATCTCCAGACAAGAGGCCTGGGCCTAGGACAGACTCACAGATAGACACAGAAAGCCAATTAGTTCATTAATTTTAAGTCCCGCTCAGAGCCGCTTTGTAGTGGTCTCCACTCCAAGGTCTCGACCTTGCTACTTTTCCCATGCTGTCTTTTTAAGCATCATGCCTGTCACTTGGAATTTAACTCGGCAGCACAAGCACCTACCTGGCAAGTGTGAGATCATGAGTTACATCCCCCAAAATCTCGTGCCTATTAATGGACACCCCAAATAGGGGTGTCCCTTCCCCACCCAATCAAATTTTAATACCACTTTTAAGTTACTGTGCGTGTATTTTTTTCATCCACTGCTGCTGTTGTGGAATGGGCAGTCCACAGGAGCACCTATTGTTTTTCTGCTTCATGTTTTATCACATTCAACCCACACACTGCAACGCTGGGAATATAAATCTGAATGAGACACTATTCACCTGAATTAAAGCTTCTATGGCCTCCAACTTATACACAAAATTCTTAACATGCACCCTTTCTCTTTGGTTCAGGCTCATCACTGCCTCTTCCGGTAGCTCTCAGGGGAACCGTCAACTGCTCCGCTTAACCATTGCTTCCTTTAAGTTTTCCCATAATTCCCTGTATTTCTCTTACACATTTTTTACTGTATTATAATTTTCTCTTTATCCTGCATATGTTCATTTGGATAGTACTTAATGCATGAAGGCAGGAACCATGTATTTGCAACATTGACTTCCCAGTACTTAATGCTAGCATACATGTAAAATCTTGATACATGGGAGAAAGAACTTTTGTCTGTTGAGTAAGGGAAAGGAGACTGTGACAAACTTTTTAGAATAGAATATTTATGACTGAACTATTTGCATCTTGTCATAAAAACTATGTGTCACTATTTATTGATAGAGCCTTTATATGCTCTAGATCTATTATTTTTCCAAGTTTCAGTAAGTTTTGGATTTGTATTATGACAGTCACAGACTTAAAAATTGTATATTTATGCTAATATGGTTTTGGAATTAAGGTTCTGCTGACTTTGTAAAGTCAATAGTTATGCTTATTTTTTTTCTACTCTAGGGAAAAAATTTGACATAGAAATTACCTGTTTCATCAAGATACTGAATTTATTCCACTGTCTAGGGTTACCTTAGAAGTAGGCTTTTGATCCGTTTCTAAATATTGTGCATGGTGGTTCATCTATAGTAAGTCCCCAGCTCATAAACCAGTTTTGTTCTTGGAGAACGTTTGTAAGTCAGGTTCGTTTGAAAGTTCAACAAAGTGAGTTTTGCACACTGTTTGCACAGATACTCAGTGTAAAGCTTTTCCTTTGGCTTCTTGGGATCCCGGGCTCCGAGTGAGCACTGCACGGCTGTACACTGCCACCACACAGTAAGCACACAGCAGCACCACTCTGGCAGTGTGCAGCAGACACACGCCACTGCCGTGGTTTGTTTGCATTGTGGATGTTTCTAATGTGAGGTATGTTTGTAGCTGTGAGAAGTTCTCTAATGTTCATAAATCCAGAAGTTACTGTATACACGTTTTCTTTTTCAAGAGTCAGTTTGGATAATACACTTTTATAGAAAACCAATCATTTCCTCTATTCAATTACATTACTATTGAGTTGTACAGAGAGTTTCCTATAATTTTTATAGAATTCTTCATATGTCTAGTTATAATTCAAAGTTCCTGATCTTTACCTTCCCTCCTACCCTGTTTAGATTTGCTAAAAATCATGCTATTGATGTCATATGCTGTATATTTTATGTACCTTATATACTTCACACTGTGTTGTTACAGTTATTAAAACATTTTACTTGTAAGAATCCACAAATGTGTATCCTAATTGTAACCGTATTTACTACTAAAATGCTCATTTCTGGGACT